ATAAATTAAAACATTTTTTAAAAATGTCTAAGGATTTTAGAAATCAAAAATACACAGAGTTTCTATGCAAGGCCCCACAAAATAATTGTATGTTTAATTACTGAATATTTGTTCAGAACATGAACAGAACTTGGATACCAGGAATTTAAATCTCTCCCAAATGACAGCACTGACAGCTTGTGATTTATACACATGGTTTATAATCCCCATATATTGCTACTCTGGGATATTCCTTGGCAAGATAGGAGTTGAGAAATGTGATTTATTCTTGGGTCTATTTCATTAAGAGAAAAATATACATGCAAGGGAAAGAACCAGATCTTTTCTACTTTCAAAATTACTGTCTTTAACTATAAACATGTTAATTATCTAGTATATTTCAGGTAACTGGTTACTAAAAGATAGAAGGCAGTATTTGCTCTAAAAAAAAATTGAAAGAATAAAAAATAAGCCAAAAAATTTTTCCTAGTTTTGAAGGCACACACATTACCAGAGAGATGATATAAAAGACTGTGTGGTGAGAACAAAGCAGTGCAGGAATTCTGCGGAGGCAGAGCTTATGGCTGGGGGTGGGGGGTGGGGGTGGAGGGGCGGTGGGGAGGGCTTTGATGAGGAGGTAGATGCTAGTGAGCCTTCCTGGAAGGAAGAATGGGGTCTGGGTAAGTGATGAGATTCAAGGACAGTCCGGGAAGGTCTTTGAATGCACAAGGCTCAGACACACAACATGGGCCACGTTTAAAACATGAACCAACTAGGCTATATAGCAAAGGATGCAAGCCTGAGAGAGAGAGAGAGAGAGAGAGAGAGAGAGAGAGAGATTGGGGAAATCAGGGAATGGTCACATCATGGAGGGAATTTCACACCTCACTAAAACTTCTGATTTTATCCTGCACTACAGTGGTTACTTCCCACGCTCGAGTCAGACAAAAGGTTTAAATCCTAGTTTTTCCATTTAATTACTACGTGACCTTAGGTACATTAGTCATTTTTCTTTCTTTTCTCTGTCATTCCCTTCCTTCCTTCTTTTCACCTCTTTCTTCTTTTCTGAGTTTGGCTTTACTTTTTTCGACTTTCATTATGAAAATTTCCAAAGATACACCCAAGTCAAAGCAACTGTGCAGTACACCCCACGTACCATCGCTGTCTGATCTCCACCCTTCCTCTCCCTCCTTAACAGCCTACTTACCTATTGCATTAGGGCTGACGTGACTAAGTACCTGGGAGCACTTGGTTAAGGAATTTCCCACAGGTGGGAGGAGCTAGGAAAGGCTGCCTGAGGAGCAGTTACGTGAAAGTGGTATTCACCTTAAACTCAAGATACACATGTGGGGATGAGCACTGGGTGATATATGGAAACCAACTTAACAATAAACTATTTGTAAAAAAATAAAAATAATAAGATACACGGGCCCCAACCCGGGTCTCATGATTTAAAGGGCCTGCTCCCACCCTTCTCTGGCCACTTTCTTTTCCACAGGGAAAGGGTTCCCAAGGAAAGTTACCTGCCTGGAGCCTGGGCCTCCTCAACAAGCCCTAATACCTGGAACCCATGAATTTCCTGCCTAAATGTCTTGAGGCCACTTGTTAGGCTTGGTCTTCCCCCGTACGTGCATCACTAAGCCCTAGAGGTGAGCAGGTGATGCTTGAAAGGTGAGTGTGGGCAGAGCTTTGACCTGTAGGCTGAGGCTCCTCACATATGTGAGGCCCCTAAAAGTACTGAAGGGGAGAATAGAGGGAGAAAGAAAGGGTCCCCCACCCGCACCTTGTTCCACAGACCAAGAACTCCCATCTGGAGCCCCGTTCTTGCCCCACAACCCACGAACATCAAGGGCAGGTCTCTGAGAATAAGTGTCATCTACAATTTGTCTCAATGTTCCTGAATTTAAATTTATGCCACTGATGTCTTTTGCCAAGTCAGCTCCCAGGACTGTCAAAGAGCCAGATGAGCATTGTCTGGGTGCCTGGGGGAACAGAATTAAGTTTCCACATGAAACGATGAAGTTGGCCAATATGGTGGTCATCCAAAGAACAGGGATGCACTGAACCATGAGGATGAAGTGGACCAGCATGCTCTTGGTGAGAAGAGCTTTCCAAGGGCTTTCTCTATCAAAGAGTTACAGCCCTATAGTGTTTAAAGCAAAAAAAAAAAATGGCCTGTGAATGCCTTTGTATAAGAGAGAATTCTTGTTTATGAACATACCTCATTTGGGAAGGAGAGAAATGCTAGGAAGAATACCTATTACATCCTAGAATTTAGCATTAAAGTACAAGGGAAGGGTGGAATGGGGGGTTGCTATATGTCTTCATAGGCATAATACCTAAAGAAAAAAGTAGAAAAGGCAAAGTAGGGCAGCCCACAACAGCAATTAGAATTTTTTATTCCTGAGTGGATAATATGTGGTTTCATTTAAATAAGAACACAATCTCCATTAACTTAATTTGTAAAAGCAATAACTCCAACACTCCAGCTATTGCCCTAGTAAGGCATTTTTAGACACATCATTGCTACTTCGAAATTAAAAGTGAATCAGTCCTGTGGAGTTAATTACCAGTAAATATAACCTAAAGTAGGTCTCCCAAATGGCACGGAGCCAGCATAAGATGGTTCTCAGTGTTAACCAGAAACATTGGAAGATACCGGGTACTTGAGAAGCTAAGTTTTTATGTGTGGCAATTGCTTTGGGGAACAGCGGGAGAAATCATTTGCAGCATCCCCAGTAAGAAACAAAAATAGAGGCCTGATTAAAAGAAGACCTCTTTGCTAGAGATATAGGGAAGTGTCCCCCAGCCCTGCCCCCCAAAAAGGAAAACCTTCAGCTCTCTGTTGTTGTTGCAACCTTTTCCCCAACTCAGTTACGCTTACAGAAAGGAAATCCTACCTATTTCTTTTAAATGCTGGCATACAAACCTATTTAATTATATAAGGTAGAAACAATTTTAGAAACAAGAAATAAAGTTAAATAAAGCCAGAACAAAGAAGTTACTTTCATCACCAGTGCTTTGGAATACAGTGTCCTCTGTTACGGTGTTCTCAAGCAGATATGCAAGACCAGAGACAGAAGAAAAAAACTCAGAGGTATATCGTTGTCTGAACTTTAATTAAATATTTGAATCAAGGAAAATGGGAATAGATGAAACCGTAGTGAGAGAGCAATGGTACATGCACAAAGGGGATAGATTAATTAAATGACTGCTGATCTAGTATTGGTAATGAACATATTTGTTTTCTTTTACTACAAACATGTCTAGGTTTCCTGCAACTCCCATGATTATCCAAATGCACCCATGCTCCCACTATCCTAACTTGTAATGCTCAAGAGTGCAACAAAGCGAGCTGTTTTTGTTCTGAACTACACAGTTCATGGAGGTCCTTCAGCCCCATACTGGATGTCGGTAGCAGTCATGATGCTAATACATGATTAGCTTAAGTTGCTTCTTTCCCATTTTAGTTTTATAAAGTGATTACACATGATTTTGTGTTTCAACTATTTCTAAGTAAATTTAGCAAACCAAAGCTGGAAATGACAAGCCTCAAAGTCTACATTTTAAAACGGATTCCCATCTGGACTGTTCACTCTGTATAATTGAGTTTATGATACCTCCTTTAACAGACACAATATTAAGGTTGAGTGTCAGGGTAATATATATACGAACTACATAAAGAACAGTGTTGCTTTCTAATGTGAGGCTTATCTAAACCCTAGAAGAGCACAGACTGCTCTGCAGAGCCAAAACCATTATTAGTGGTCCGTCTTGACTGTGGTTCCACTTGCGAGATAAAGTCCCAACTGGGAGTTTCTCATACAGTGGGTCAAGACAAGAACTGTAAGGAAGCCAGGGTGTCTCGTGTCTCTTTTCAAATAACTGAAGGCCCCTTCTTCTGGTGTCTGGAAGAAGTAAAATGTCCTTGTCTAGTGGGTATTGCTTTAGTATACCACATGCCCAGTAAGTTCTAGCATCTAGAAGCATGCAATAGCAGCTAATATCAGCTATGCAGTCATGGTATTCTTAGTGTTTAATTATATCATGTGCATTGAGAGATTTTAAATGTTAAAGAGAAAACAGAAGGACTTATTCTCTTTAGCAACCATTATAGTACAGAAGGTTCAAAGCTGCAATCACACTCATACGGCGGATAAACTGATTACAAAATGAGGGTAGCCACAAGTGTGCATGCTATTGGAAACATGAAACTGGTCCCTAAAACAGATAACCCCTTGTTTGTTTTCAAAATTCCATTGCTGTCTCAGACCATCGATCAGCACAATGGAAAACTTTCACTTTAGCAAGGTAATGCCAATGTTCAGGCTTAGAAGTGCAAAAACGGGTGTAAAATAATAAATCTGTTTTCCCTTTTCTCACTGGCTAAGATTCTGTCTCATTCGGCAAGGATGTGACTTTATAAAAACCCTTTTAAGAATAAAGGGCATGAGGTCTTAATAGCAGTTCGTACTGGTGTGCATACCTGTGGTCTCATTCTTCACGTTAATGCAAAGGCTAAATTATAACAGAAGCATCATCAAAGATAGATCACTTTCTAAAATTCTTCTTAAATATTTCCTTCATCAAAATTATTTCCTTCGGCTCATGCACACTCGAGGTGCTTAATCTACATCATAAGACGATGAAGGTGGGGACGGTAATACATTATCAAATCTCTTTTTCAAAAACAGTGCTGAAATAAATTAACCTGCTCTTTTAAAATGTCAGTGTGCAAGTTCTTGAAGTTTCCGGTGCTGTGACTTTAGGATTTCTCTAAAACACAGAAACAAAGGGTAAAAATCAGGTAGCTGTTCAAAATGACCTCGGGGACCCCATTTAGGGAAAGACCTTGGTTCGACAGGTTATCCCACCGGGGTGGAAAGGCGCAATCTTCGCACCGGTTTATCGGGCTTGGCCAGCAGGAGTCTTCGTTCGGGCGGAGGGGACTTTACAAGGGCAGGAGGCGGCGCCGACGTCGGCACCTCCCGCATCTCTGCTCCCCCCGGGGCCCGGCCGGGTCACCAGTGCTGGCCGGCGGCGCGGGTGCCCAGCTGCGCCTGGGACACCGCGGGGACGGCCGTGGCGGCAGCGGCGGCCGCCGCCGCGTCGCCGACGCCGGGCAGGACGGAGCGCACGGAGCGGCGGAACTCCTCGTTCCTCCACGTGTAGAGCAGCGGGTTGAGCGCGGACAGGGCGCAGCACAGGAGCCAGCTGGCCGCCTGCACGCCCCAGGGCACGGGCAGCGAGAGGCCGCTGGCCAGGCTCACCCACACCAGCGGCTGCGTGGCCAGCAGGAAGACGCAGCAGAGCAGAAGCACCGACAGGCCGCTGAGACGCCGCTGCGCCCGCCGCGGCTGCAGCGCGGGCGGCAGGGGCTGGGCCTGCGCCGGGTGCGCGGCACCGCCCGGGCCCGGCGCGTGCGGGGCGCCCGGGAAGGCGGCGGCGGCGGCGGCGCAGCCGGGCAGCTGGTGCAGCAGGTGGAAGTTGAGGACGCTGACCCGCTTGACGCTGACGCGCACGCGGCGCACGATGCCCAGGTAGCAGTGCAGCAGCAGCGCCGTCTGCGCCAGCAGCGCCGCGGCGGCCAGCAGCGCCGGGTAGTGGACGCGCGGGGGGGCGGCGCCGGGCCGCGGCGCCCAGGGCGGCAGCAGCAGCACGAGGCCCAGGGCGAGCGCCCAGGAGAGCGCCAGCATGCCCGCCGTGTGGCGCCGCTGGTACAGCGCCTGGTAGGTGGCCGGCGCCCGGGTGATGAGCAGGTAGCGGTTCAGGGCCACCAGGCAGTGGGACAGGAGGGACACGGTGAGCCCCAGGCCTAGCAGCCCGCCCCGCAGCAGGCGGTAGCTGCCGCCGGCGCCGTCCCAGTCGGCGGGGGGCTCCGCGGAGCCGGCGGGCAGGAGCCCGAGCACCGCCTCCTGCGGCATCCAGAGGGCGCAGACGCTGAGGTCCGCGGCGCAGCCGTTCACGATGAAGGCGTTGCTGGTGGTCTGCAGCTTTCGGAAGGACGACACGAGATAGATGACCATGCCGTTGGCCAGCGTGCCCCCGATGGCCAGGCCCGAGTACAGAAGCGACACGGGGATGCGCCGGCCCGCCCACGACTCCTCTTCCTCGCAGAGCAGCAGCAGCGAGCCCCCGGTGGTGGAGGAGGTGGACGTGGAGGAGGAGTTGGTCATTCTGGCCAACTCTTCACACCTCGCTTGCTAGCATCGGCTTCTCACGGCGTGGCCCATCCTGACACCCGCCTGCAGAGAGGGCAAAGACATCCCTTCAGCCCTCTGCCACCGACACAAAAGGCTGAAGCAGAATAATGGGCTGGGGGAGGGGGAGAGAAGGAGCTCGAGAAGAACGGGGGTGGCAGATGACAGGTGCCTGCCTCGGAAATGTCTCCAGTGCCAGGGGAGAGGCCTCTTTGCTTTCAGCAGGCACCGGGGAAGCCCTTGGACAGAGCAATACCAAGGGTCTCCCCTTGTCCCCCCAAACACACCACACACACACACACACACACACACACAGGTGGGAATATTGCCAGATGGAGCCCCTGGTTTCCAGGAGAAAATAAAGCAGAGCTATCCCAGCTGGGGAAAACGCCAAGGGAGAGGGGTTGTTGGGGGGTACCTTACTTTGGGGCTGGTCCTTTGCTGGCAGTAGCGGAGGCAGGGATGCCAGGAAATACCTCCTCAGCAGCAGCATCTGTGGTCCCAAAATCAACAGGAGAAACTCAGCTGGGATCAGCGCCAGGAGCAAGTGCTTGCTTCTCCCAAGCAGCAGCCACACACATGGTCCTAGGCGGAACCCAGCAGCTGCAGGGAGGCTTCTGGGCGGGCAGCAGGGCTGGGAAGGCTGCAAGCCCAGAAGGGTGGGCAGGCAGGCAGCAGAAGAAAGGATGCTTGGCTGCAAAAGCAGAAGCTGAGCTCAAGAGGAGAGCACCCTGTGCTCAGAGCAAGAGTGGTGGCTGTTGTGGTGAACCCACACGAAGCTCTCTCGTGCTCACTTATACATCACCCAGGGAAAAGGCAGCCTTTCCACGCTTGGCATGAATTATTCAATAGCTTCTATCTTGTGAAAGGGAAAAAAAAAATCTTGTTCAGAAAGTCCTGTAATTAACAAGTTTCTCCGTCTTTTCTTTTCTCTCAATCACCTTATTTTTCACCCTGCTTCCTTTTTCTTTCCTTCATTTTCTTTTCCTCCCATCAGTGTTAGAATAAAATTTAACATGCTCCTAATAATATGTCGTCATGCAGTCTGTGGGCAAGGTTTTCCTGAGGGACAAATATACCCCTAGTACCCAGGACTGATCTCTGCCATCCCACGCTTTCAGGGAGAATGACTTTATATCCTAAATGAAATTCATTTTTTCTTTGGTAAGGTGGGACATGGACACTTATCCACAGAAAACCCCCATGTCTCAATTTAGATCATAATTTTGATTTTATTCTCATCACCGAACTCCTTTCCAAGTTTGGCTTGTAGGGTGATGAAATGGTTAGAGGGTAAAAATGAAATAGGGTAAAAGCAGGTGTCAGGGAGAAAGAAAGAAACCTGACTAATGCACAGTGTCAGTGACAAAGATGGCTCTTCCTTTATTGAGGACTTTTTATTTTGTGGTCTTAGATGGAAATTTGCAGTCAGATGCTGGAAAGTTCTTTGATGAAGCACTTACTCAGTCATTCAACTTGGGAAACTTTCCATAGAAGCCAACCGTTTCTTCCCCACCCCCTCCAATAAATCATTTTTCGCTAGGAAAATCATTTATTTGGAAACTCAATAGGGAATATGGTAACATGACATGATGGAAGACAGTGCTAGGTGGGGTTTCAGGACACCCGAGTCCTAAGCCAAGAGGCCACCAACTGGTCTTGTGATGAGTCATTTTTACATCCTGACAAATGAGAACTTTTCACCCAGTGACTTCCAAGCCCCCCCCCTTTTTTTCCCCAAACTTTCTGTGAATACCCATGCATAATTCCAACCTTTCTCTTCCCTAGCTCTGAAACCTGAGGTGACCTCTACCTGGCATATGCTGAAGTCCTGGATCACACAACGTGAAGTCCTTTCCAGGCTGTCTACAAGGGAAACATTTTAGGAAGGAGTGCAAGACGTACCTCCTCCGACTTCCTCTCTTCCTTTCAAAGAAGGCATTAGTTAATGACTGTTAAGAACTCTAATGGGTTAGAGCTAAGCACGACTTGATGGGTTTAGTCCTTTTAGGCAGTAATTAAGCAGAATCAGTTGAATTGGGGAATTAAAGAGAAGAAACAGAGATTTGCTTTTCAGAGGACTGAAGGTTCAGATACCAAGTTTATTGATGTTGAAGAGAATTGGCCATTGTCCATTGCCTGGTGTCATTTCTCTTTATTGAGTCTCTGAGGACATCAAGCACAGCAGCCTGCAAGATATTCATTTCTCTAATTGTTTATAGTTAAAATCTGTTGTTGAGATTAAGATTTCCTCTCACATCAAGGGGATATTTGAATTCCACGTTCCTGGTCCGGGCTGCTGCCTTGTGCGTTGCCTGTGCGATGGGGCAGAATCCCTCCTGAGGGGCTTGGGTACCTTGCAGTCACTCACCTTTCTGCCAAGACCATGCCTTCTTTAGCTTTGGCCTGGCAGGGACCAAGTTTTTGTTTGTCTTTGGTGTGGGTTTCGTTGTAAGCTCCCGAACTTACATAAAATAGGGTGAGGGGTTTTTTTCCTGTCTTATTCCCAGCACCAGGACCAGTGTCTGGCATGTAGAAGTTATTGGATAAATAATTACTGAGCCAGTGAATAGATGGCTATATAAATGATGTCATTTTCCCCCCCGTGCTGAAACGCTAAGTGATGTTCATGACCACCGCTTCCCCCCCTGCACCCGGCAGGAACTTGCCCCATCAACCACCCCTGTGATGCATGTCCAATCCCTCTACTCCCACTGGCTGCTTTCCCTTTGCTTCAAAAATGCCAGTTTCACCACCATCTAATAAAAACTTCCCCTGCTCTTCATCTCCTTCTCAAGCTGCCTACACAGGCTCACTCCCTCTCCTGGCAGAAGGGCTCGGTTTCTGCTTCTATCTCCTTTTCCTACGAATGCCCACCCCACGCTCCTTTTGCTCTCACCCCCGAAACAGTTTCCACCTGGCTAAAGTTCTGTCCACATACAAAATTGCCTCCCGGACATTGCTACTTGGGTATCCTGTGGGCGTTTCAAACCCCCAGTGTCCAAAACTGATCTCCTCATCTTCTTCCCAAAGAAGTCCCTCCTTCTCCTGTATTCCAGACTCAGTAGCCAGCATATCCTGATGCCTAAGTCAGAATCCTAGCTGTCATTTTTGATACCTTCTTTTTTTTTTTCTCTTCCTCGCTATACCCATCAATCACCAAGTGTCATTATTCTACCACATTAATGTTTTTTAAATGTATTCACTGATGTCTATTCACTCTGCCACTACCTGGTATCAGACAACCATCGTGTCTTCTCTAAATTATCCCAACAAGCTCCTAACTGTTGTCTACTTACAATCTTACCTCCCTCCAACCAAAGTGATCTCTCTAAGACTGAAAGGCATCACTTGCCAGGTGTTAAAAATTTTTTCTTTTCCCTCACCCTCCACTCTAATGTACATTCCTTGAAAACAGGAGCTTTGAGGCACCCGGGTGGCTCAATCAGTTGAGCACCCGACTTTTGGTTTTGGCTCAGGCCATGATCCATGAGTTAGGGCCCAACATTGGGCTCTATGCTGACAGTGCAGAGTCTGCTTGAGATTCTCTCACTCTCCCTCTCTCTCTCTCCCCGCCACCTCTCTGCCCCTCCTACATTCTTTCTTTCTCTCAAAATAAACTTTTTTAAAGAAGGAAAAGAAAATAGGAGCTTTGCTTTAATTACTAGTATTATTGAAAGCTCCCAGGACAATGCCAAACACACAGTCTCCCCTTAATATTTGTTGGAAGAAATAGGGAGCAAATGTCACTATTGTGTTTAAATTACTTCACTAAGACCCTGTTGTCCTCAGGAGAATCGTAACCATCATCATTGCTAATGTTACTGAGTATACACCACATGCACCGGGCATTATTTCGAGAATTTTTCAACTATTGTTTCCTTCGGTCCTCCTGTCAGGCCTGCAAGGCTTACATCTAGACATACAGGCCAGGGCAGGAGGCCAGATATAAATCCACAGACCATATGTCTAAATATTTTTAAATCATCAATCAAGCTATCAAACTGTTAAATAGAATGTACTGTTCTCCTAACCTGACAAACATACTTTCATGACAACCGGAAAGATGGGCTCAAACTTAGAATTCTTAGATTCATAGATTGTTCCAGGCTAGTGGAATGTGACGACTTGGCAAACTTGCCTCCGTCCCACTGTCCACGCTCCTCTCTCCCTACCTTCAGCTCTGTCATCACAAGCCAGAGGGACCTGTTTTAGGACACTTGCTTTACCCCCCTGTCATACACCCTTTAGCACCATCTCAGACCCAAGACGGTACTTGGAAGGCATAGTCAGCCATCAGAAGGACAAAGCCAGAGCAGAGAGGTCCACGCAGATCATGAAAGTGTGCCCATGGCCACTGAGCAGGAGATTCTCAGGTCCTGAAAATGAACTTGGCCTATAAAGGACATAAAAACCCATTGTTTATACTCAACCACCGCACAATGCTGCCTCCCTTGGTAAAGTTGAGATTCCTTCACATGGATCAGCTACTGTACATAAAGCTGATGTAACAAGGAGACCCAAAACTGTAGAGGTGCAAAACAGAAATAATCCATTTGTCTCTCACAAAGGTGAATGGGCAATCCAGATGGAAGGCAGATCTACTATATAAGGTAATCCAGAAACCCTGGCGTCTCCTTACTTCTCCCCCATCCCTTAGGACAGGAGGGTGCAAGATGTGGCCCCTGACCAGCAGCATCAACACCCATCTCTTAGAAACATGTTAGAAATGATTCACACAGAGGCGCCTGAGTGACTCAGTCGATTAAGCTCCGACTTCGGCTCAGGTCATGATCTAACAGTTTGTGGGTTCGAGCCCCACATCGGGCTCTGTGCTGACAGCTAGCTCAGAGCCTGGAGCCTGTTTCAGATTCTATGTCTCCCTCTAGCTCTGACCCTCCCCTGCTTATGCTGTCTCTCTCTCTCTCAGAAATAAATCAAAAAAAAAAAACATTTAAAAAATGATTCAGACACACTGAATCAGAACTTCTGATGATTGGGGTCCAGTGATCTGTTTTAACAAGCCCTCCAAGCACCTCTGATGCTTGCTGAAGTTCTAGAACCACTGCCTTAGGAAGCCATCCTTGTCTACGTGGCTAACATCATTGCACTACCACCACATCCACATCCCAGCTGGCAGAGATGAAAAAAGAAGAAAGAAGGGTGGCTAGCTTTAAGGATGCGAACTGAAAATCTCACATCTGCATACAGTCCAGACACTGACAACCTGAGTCCTAGCGTGGCTGCTTGGTTCAGGAGCAGCTGAGGCCCCTCTGGCTCCGTGTTCACGTGCCCCCTCCCCAGCACTCCAAAGGACAGAAGCGAGGAGAGAGCAGACAGTGGGCAATAGATGGAAGCCGGTTACCAGGTTTACCCAAACCTGCAGGTTTGAAACAACGCTGTTATCATGTGGGCTCTTGAAGCACGGTGCCTTGAGCAGACCAGTTTTTCAAGATCCTTTGAAAAGGTTTAATATCTGAAAAAAAAAAAGAATTACTGGCGCTGAAATATAAAAAAAGAAAAGTTTGAAATAGAAATTAATGTGCTATTAAACAG